AAGAGGGAGAGACAGAGAATGGAAGACAGAGAGAGAGAGAGAGAGAGAGAGAGAGGGAGGGAGAGATTTAGAGATTGAGTGAGAGAGAGAGAGAGTGAGCATCAATGTTGCTGTTGTTTGTGGTTATCCAATCAGAGTGTAGCACTGCATGTGCATTACAAACACACAAACACACACACACACACACACACACACACACACACACTCACACCCCCCTGGTCTTAGCTGGTCCAGACTGTGGACAGTGAGCGTCTCTGCAGGACGTCCTCAGCTCCAGCCTCAGCTCTGGTTGCAGATCTGTAGTCCGTCTGTCTCCTGCTAGACTCAGGGTCTAGATCTATGTGAGGATCAGGGTCTTGGTTGATCCCGTCATGGACTGTGGCCCATGTGTTCTGGACCTTCTGGGCGTCCTACTGGCAGTCTCAGCCTGGATTTGCTCTCTGTCCACAACCCTAATGTCCACTTGGTTGACCCTGTCCACAGATCTTCTGCCTACTGAGATCTATGAGCTGGGTCTTTGGTCCACCTGTGTGGTCCATGATCTGGGTGGCCTGGAATGTCAGCCTTACAACAGTGTGCTGGGTCTTCCACCCGACATCCAGCTGGCCCGGATCCTCATGGTCTCTGCATTGAGTACTGGACTGCTGGGTCTTCTAGTTTCCATTCCTGGTCTGGACATGGTCCGTGGCTGCTACGGCCGACACCTGGATCCCCTGTGGAGTAAGAGGGTCTTGAAGGGAGCAGGTGCCGTCTGTTGTCTGTTTGCTGGGATCCTTGGTCTGGTCCCGGTGTCCTACATCGCCCACCTGACGGTGATCCGATTTTTTGACGAGTCGGTCCCAGATGTTGTTCCTCGCTGGGAATTTGGAGGCGCCCTATTCTGTGGTTGGATTGCAGGAGTTCTACACCTGGTGTCTGGGACTCTGCTGCTGGTTAGCTGTGTCCACATGCCAGGCTGCGCTCCCCTGCGTGGACACAGGCGAATCATTAGAGCAAGAACTGACTATGTGTAAGAAGAACAGGGTCACCGCTGGTCCAGACTGAGACCTGGGAGTGCAGCCAAAGACTTTTTCTGTTTTTGGGGAACCTTATCTCTGAGAAAAGTCAACATAGAGAATGAGTGTTTTAGTTTAAAGGGACACTGGTGTGTGCTGATGTGGTCTGTCTGTGCTGCTAATAATATCTGAAATTAGAGTCCAAAGAGTCACAAAATAACACAACTGAACATAGTGGTGGTTTGAACCACTGATCAATGGCCCTTTATGGACGTTTGTATAGAAAAGGTGAAAAAAATCATTAAAAATGAAATAAAAAGTATTTTTCCTCCTACGTGAAACATTTCATATTAAATGGTGAATGTCTATTAATGTTGGGGTTTTTTTTTACTGTCTTTATTCATGTTTTTTATTAATTGTCATAAGACATGTGACTCCACCCCCTCCTTAACATCTTTTACTGACTCACCTGTCAGTGGTCAGGTGTTTCCTGTACATTATCATGACACAAAGTCATGCATGAAACATGACTCACCTCTTGTCAATACCTTTGAAACTGCTTCTTTTTTTATACCTGACTCGGCCTCGTGGAAACATGACTCAGCTTTTTGTCCTTAGTTTAAATGTAACAGGTTTTTGGACACGACTCCGTAGTTTTTAAAGGTAAATTAATTTCACCCAAAACGTGGAATCACGACACAGCTGTTTTGAAGTGGTTTCTGAAACATGATGCAGTTGTTTTCGTGTCCTGGCAGCGGTGGGTGAACTCTATCTCAGATTTTAGGATTGAAAGTCTTTTGTCTCTGACTCTGTTTTCTTTTTCGTGGTAATTACTCTTTTCCTGTTTGAGAGAATAGAGCTGTGAAACAGAAAGTAAGTCAGGCTGGAGAGGAAGTCCTCCATCCTCCTGCTGGCCATTGTTTCACCTCTCCTTTAATCATGAATGCAAACAAACTCTGTCACACTCACAGACCACAACACGGTTCACCTTCCCTACAATCTGAATCTGACTGTATTTCTGTGATGTTGTGAGTTTCTTTGATTTTGTGTGTGTGTGTGTGTGTGTGTGTGTGTGTGTGTGAATGTTCCAGAAGAACAAAAGCTTTCTTTTCTGTCAGAGCTCAACAGGAAGTCATTCAGTATTAGAAGCGTGTGTGTTTCTGTGCGTGTGTGTACCGTATAAATTACTGTATAATAACAATGCTCTTTAGTCCCACTGTGCAGCCAACGTTAGGAAAACTAGTTTAACTGCTGTTAGCAAAAAAACTTCAGTTTTATGAAGCTAAAGTCACCTTCATTTCTACAAACTACTGTAGGTAGAAAATATCCTGCATGTTTCTAATTGTATTTTCTCTCAGTAAAGGCAGGGCCGGGCTGAGGTTGTCTCTGATTGGCTGTTACAGCTGACACCTGTGCATGTCCGTAACAGCTGTGTCACAGGAAGTTCAATCAAAGGAAGGTCGAGGATTTAACAAAGGTGAGTGTGTGTGCTGTTGAAATGTTCTCTCTAAGCTGTGCTTCAATCCTTTCTGTGAAATCGTTTGATTTGAGTGAAAACAACTGATGAGGTCACATGATCGGTTTATTAAATTCCTCAGAGTAAACAAAGACGTCCACAGGACGAAGCAGATCAAGTGTTTAAGTCCCAACACCAAACATCAGATAACAGGAGACGTTCAATAAGCAACAACCAACTACCAGTCACTACATTTGGGTTAAAACAATCAAATTGTACACGATCAATAAGTTAAACCATTCACACCTTCATGCACCAGACACACCCTGTCCTTGTGACGTGGGTGGGGCATTACAGCAGCGTCAGTTGTGAGGTCACAGAGCCCCCATCCACACCAGACAGCATGCACAGTCAATCCAAGTGCTCCGGGGCCAGTACTGGAGGTGTGGTCACTGCTGGGCCAGCAGTGCAGTGCGATTGGCCTTCATCTTCTCCAGACGTTTGGTCAGATGACCGTTGGCGACCTCCAGCTCATGCACTCGGTCCAACGCGGCACGAAGCTGTAGACAAAGAGGAAGAAAACAAAAATATTAGAATAGTTTTTATAAAGAACAAAGTCAAAGAGTCAAGAGGATGTTTTGGACTAAAACTTTCCTCTCGCTGCAGCTTCCTCTTCTCCACCTTCAGCTCGTCTTCACTTGCTTCGCTCCTTTCTGATACTGACCTATAACGAGTCACCTGACCTTCCAGACGGATGACCTGAGGCAGGGGAAGGCAGAGCTTAAGGTGGACATCAGGTAGACATCAGATGTGGACATATTTAACTCGTCTATTGATGAGTAAATAAAACTTCAGTCGATTCATAAATGAATCCATCAGATCAATAATGAAATGAACAGAACCTGTGCTTTTGTTGCCAGTTACTGATCAATTAACTGTGATTGAATTAAACAGAAACACAGACTCACGTTCTGCTCCAGCGTGGCCACATCCTGCTCAGACTTGACAAGTTTAAACTTGAGTTCACTGATCTGTTTGTTGGTCTCTCCTGAGAAAACAGAGGCCAGGACCAGAGTCAAGGAAAGAACAAAAAAAAAAGATAAAGATGATGAAGCCTCCTCATTTACTCACTCTGCAGCTCCAGCAGCTGAGAGTCCACTCCGTTCTGCAGCACAGTGCCCTCCTGTGGACACTCTGAGTTTATGATCTCTTGGTGTTGCTGCAGCTCAGCCTGTAGATGTTTCACCTAAAGATCCCCAACACAGATCAATAATCTTGAGCGATAAATGGAGGTGGCGCCCCCAGAGGTCAGTCTTGACACTTCAACATGAATTTCACTTCAGAATTTTTTTTTTTTTACCTGAGCTTCTAAACCCTGTCGGTCTTCTAGAAGCTTCTTCACACATGGTTCTGTGAGACACACACAACCGCACACACCAAATGTGGAGAACAACAAGAAAAACCAAGGTAAAGTAAAATAGCTACATTTTAAAATGAAGTCATTTTGTTAAAAAATAAATTGTTTTTTAATCAGATTTATTTTATTAAAGAAATCACCAATTTTCTATTTATTATGTATTATTTTTATTGATCATTTAGTAGCTGAAGCTAATCAGTGACATCATCGTTCATTGGTTGAATAATCGGACAAAATGACAAATAAAGGTGTGTTGAAAGCAGACAAAAAATTATAGAAGGAATTCTCAATAAAAAGATGAACTAAATAACTTCATAGACATGGGTCATTCAGTGTCATTCTGGGACAGAGACAGCAGCCACACCAGGATTAAAACAGGCCTACACATCTGGGCCGATCGACTAAATCTGGGCCACATTTAACAATTAGGATACACTGATGATTTGGATACTACATGTGGTTCACATTTAAATTACAGAATGTGGGCCACATTTTAGATACTCAGTGTGACTTCATATGGGTCACATCCGTCTACCTGTTTTCTTTGTGATCCATAAAACTCAACTCTTGGTCAAGAAAGGTTACATTGGTTTTTCTGTTTGTGTTTCTTGTTTTTCAAATTGTTTCCGATTTGATCTGTAATATCGGTGGCCTCTTCGCAGCTGTCCACGTCCACATCCATTTCCTGCTCCATGTCGTGGTCCAGGCTCCTGTGTTTTGACCCTTTCACTGCATACTGTGCCTCATGTTCGACCTCGACTTTTTCCACTAGAACATAGTCCTGGTAGCAGCTTCTCAGGCCGGGGTTTCGTTGACTGTGCACCTCAAATGTTTTAGACCTGACTTTTGAAGTTGTTCCTGAAGTTTCTCCTACAAATAAGATCTCTGGGAAAATATGAGATGTTGAGCTTTCTCCAGCAAGTTCAACCTGTGTGGTTGTTTCTGCAGAGTTAACTCTGGAGATTCCTCTTCTAAACTCACACGCTCTTAAAGCAAGTGCAGCCTCCAAACTTCCTCCTACTGATCCTGAGGTTCCTTCTCCAGGAACGATCTTAGACTCTGAGATCCTTCCTGCAAACAGAACCTGTGATGTTTCTCCTAATACTCTTCCTACAGATGTCACCTCTGAGATTTCCCCCTCAGATGTGATCTCTGAGTTCCTGCCTGTAATCTCTGATCCACCTTCTTCAGACCAGATCTCTGTGGTTAAACTTCTTTTTGTGGCTTCTTGTTTCTTTCTTTGTCTCTTCTGAAGATCTTGAACATTTGAGTCCTCACAGGCATCAGGAGGTTGTACTTGAGGTTCTGAAGCCTCTTCATTTACCTTCAAGGAACTAGAAGTTCCTAAATCCTTCTGTGTTTCACCGCTCGCTGCTAAGAGTTGGGTTCTGATTGTATCTAAAGGGCTCTGGAAATCCAGAACCTTCTCTGCAGCAGTTTTTACCATATGTTGGACTTCAGGAATCCAAAGACTCAGTAATCCTGACATTTCATCAAACAATTTCCAGATCTGGACCAAAGAACTCTGATTTTCAACAAATCCTTTCATGAGGTCCTGAATCAATTTTTCTAGAAAAATCCAGTTCTTGTGCACCTCCCTGTGGAAAGGTGAAGAATGACGGTCTTTGGGGTTTTGATCGTACTCTTGAATCTTCTTCACTTCCAGGTGCGTCCCTAGTCTATTGCCCCCTGCTGGTCTGTCTGGACCAGACTCTGAGGTTTTGTTTTCACCTCTAAGGTCTGGACTGTTTGCAAAGACCAGAGGATTGTAATGTTTTTTATCTTCATCTTCAGGACTTTGTCCCTCACTGTTGTCCCCTCTCGACTGTAGACTGGAACTGTCTTCTGATGACGTCTCTTCTTCCTGCTGGAACGTGGAGGTCAAAGGATTCTTGACATTCTGGAACTGTTCTGCTCGCTCCACTCTTTCTGCACTATTTAGTGTGCATTTAGTGAAGTGGCCGTTGGTCTGGTCAAGTGGAGGTTTGGTGCCCTCTGCAGGACACAGGGCATAACTCTGACCTAAAACGTCATGAAGAAGAAGTTTGAGGGGTCATGTCAAATTTTAAAGACAGACGAAGAAGCTTGGAATCAACCGACATGAGGGAATGTAGATCTTCATCAGAACCAGGACGAGGACGAAGACAGAAGATGTTTAGAAGATTAATATGAACACACTGAGAGTTGATTGGTTGAAAACGGTGGTCAGTTCATTTTGACAAGGAAAAACTGAACATTTTTCTCTGGCCCACTGTGGGGCAACACAAATTCTGCCACTTTTCCCACATACAGCAGTGATTGATGATGCCACCCAAATATGGTATTCATGTGTACGCCACATCTCTGGAATGTTAAATGTTAACCATTCACATCGATTTTCAAGTGGGATGGCCCACATTCTGGATACCAGATGTGGGCCATCCCACTTCTTCTTTGCTGTATGTAGGTAACATGACCAGTGAAACTCTGACTGTGACGACAAAGATGGTCTTCTTCTTACCCAGCATGCTCTCTCTGCCTCTGTGCTCCGCCTCCTCAGTGATATTGCAATCCTGCACTCCATCCACAAGCTCAGATTCTTGGTTGAGGGTGACATCGGGTGAGACGATAACGTCTTGGTGTTTCTGTTCAACAAAGTATCAGTTAAATCATCAATCGACCTGCAGTCGGGTTTGGTGACTGGATTCTACTGGAGCGCAAAGATTTGTCACATAACTGATTTGTTTGCATGTCTATGTGTGTCAGTGTGTTCCTGTGTGGGAAGCGTGTTGCTAGGGCAGCAGACTGAGGTGCTCTGAGCACCGTCCCCACTCACTGCTCCCCTGGTCCTTAAAGCTGCCCACTGTTCACTTTGGTGATGGGTTAAAGACAGAGGTCACATTTGGTTGTGTCACAGTGGTGTGAAGTAGTTCACTTTCCTTCCTTTCCTTAGTGTTGTGTTAGTGTGTCATTATCTTTACCCTCAGCAGCTCCTCCGTCCTCCTCAGACTCTCCTTCATGTCTTTAAATGTATACATCATCAGGTTGTGTGACGCTCTTTCTTGTTCAAACTCCTGAGGTAGAAGGGAAGAAACAAAAATTCAGCTCAAATAAAATAAATAAATCAATTTTAAAAAACGTAGCCACCCTGTGACCTCTGACCTTGAGGGCGTGGTCATGTCTGCGTCGCTCTTCCCACAGTTCCTCCTCCAGGTCCATCAGCTCCTCCTTCAGAGCGTCTACCTGGTACATGAGCGCAGACTTCTGGTTGTGCAGCTGGGCATTAAAAACCATGGCTTTACGGTACTTCTCCTCCGTCTCCACCAGGGCATCCTGATCCATAATCAATACACAGACTTACATTAGTGCTGATTGATCATTACTGATCCCAAATCAATACTTACTGAAAGACAGAACTATTCATTCATCAATGATCCATACCAACAACTGCTGATTAGTGATTTATTAATAGATATACATTTATAATTAAAATCAAACGAGTATTTGATCAGAGTTATTGATCACTGATTGACAGATTACCTTCATGTCTCTGACAGATGCCTCTGTCTCCACAGAAAAGTTGGTGTCGCAGCTTCCGCGCCGTGACGAGGCTCCGCCCAGTGAGGCCAGTGTGGCAGTGGACAGCGTGGAGGCAGTTCTTGATGCCTGGTGGGAGAACGCAGTTCCGTTCAAGGTCATTCCTCAAACAAGTTTTTTTTTAAGCATGTGCTGCTGAGTGTTGTGGAAAAAGACTCACTTTGTCCAGGAAGTCTCTGTCTCCCCTGTCCTCCACCTAAACACAAACATACACACAAAGAATTATGTGATAGGCTGATGGTAACAGAAAAGGGGCGGAGTTAGTACACTTAAGAGAGAAATCAAGCCTAGAGCCCAAACCAGAAGCAGAACCAGAACCAGATTCTCACCACTGGACTGGCTCGAGCTGAGCTGGCTCTGGATGAAGCTCGAGAACTGGAGCCCAGGAAACTGCTGTAGTCTGAGGGCTGAGGAGGGGGGGTTGATGATCGAGGACAGATAATAGGACACAGAGGACAGAGGAGACGTGGTTCAGTTAAAGACAGGTAAGAGAGGAATCACTACTGGAGCGTGTAGTCCATCAGTAAAAAAAGGGAATTGTTGATATTAATCAACGTTAACCATTGATTTTTGAGGGCAGGAAGTGATGTCAGAAGGTGAGAATGAGCTGAGTGTTGAACAGCCACTCACCCTGAAGCTACTGCGACTCCCTACCGACATCTTTTCCTCATCGTCAGACACCTGGAAAAGGCAGTGACATCATTAATGACATCATCAACAACAACATAGTCACATGTGTGATGTCATCCTGCCAGAGAGAAACAGGAATGGAGCTACAGACCGAGGTGTGTCTACGAGGGAGACGGGAGTAGTGCTCGCTGTCCTCCTGAGGAGACCAATAGATGGAGACAAAGAGGAGGGACGTGTTAGGGTTAAAGGAAAGGGGAAAATTAGGAGACGAGGAGAGAGGAAACGAAGGTTGAGTAAAGGAGGTGAAACTATAATGTTACTGGTGATTTCCTACCATCCACTGTTCAATGTGGCCCCATTTATTATCCAGGCCGTAATACTTCTGCTCCACAGGAGGAGCAAAGAGGAGCAAGAAGAAGGAGCAGGAAGATGGAGGTTAATGTCAGCGAGGAAAAAGCAGGGATTCAAGATGGAATATTTAACAGAGCAGCAGAAGAGTTTACCTTCTGACTGTGAAACAGCTGCAGCAGGAGGAGAGACAGACAGACAGAGAGGTGAGACATCACAGCTGAGGTCAGAGGTAAGAGTCCTTCAACAGTTTAGAGCTGGAAATCAAACCTCTGACCATCCGCACAGAGACGACCCTCTAAACTAGGACTTAATCCAAACTGAGTAGTTTTGTTATGTTGCAACTAACTCCATTGTTATTATTAACTAATCCTTAGTTATATCCGTACGACAATTACTTGTCATTTTTTTTGTCTCATATAACAGAATTTCCTGACATTTTTTAGCGTACCTACATCTGGCTAAGCTTTCATCAAATTTCCTGGCTATCTTTTAGATTCATTTCTACTTTTTTAGCCGACTCAACAACAAATTTGTTAAAACAAAAAAACTCACCGGGCTGATGTGAGACATGATCGTCCCCTCTCTCTGCTGATTAAATCACAATCTAACCTTTGACTCAGGAGTTCAGACAGGAAGTCCCGCCCCCCATTACTGATGACACCTAAAGTCACTCACCTCCCTGTGCTGGTGTTTCTCCAGCTCCTTCATTCTAATGTCCCGAGCCTCAGCTCGAGCCGCTCGCTTCGCGGCCAGACGAGCCTCTGCCTGAAAAGTGAAAGACACTTTCATCAATTCAAAGATCCACGACCATCAACACTGATCAGCTCATATCAAACATATCTGTTTTTTCATTCATTTTTATTTAATTCAATCTTTAAATTATTTATTACGGTAACATGTTTTTGTATTTTTTTGTATAGACTTTAAAAGAAACATTTTCTATGTGTTCAAGGAATGACACCAGGAAAGAAAAAAAAGTTCCCATCTCTCCCATTTACAGTTTACTTTAGTGGAAGAATGTTGCTCGTCCACATGTTCATGCCCACAAAAAACACACCCTAAAAAAACAGCCAAGGTCACTCCCATTCCTTCAGCTGGTTTCTCTTCTTTTAATCTGAACAAAGTCTCATTTTCTGATGAATATATTCAAACACGCAACAAAATAACAAATAAATAATAAGTGGAAACAGTTTTAAAACTAAACATATTTAAATTTCTGTCTTTGTCACATTGAATCACATGTATTTAATACAACTGAATAGATGATTTTTAAAAATTGATTAATTTGAGCTAAATAAAATGTCATGTAACTTTGTAAAATAAATTCCTGTAAAGAGAGTTTTAAGGAGTAAAAATATCGATGTATAGTGTTTAAAATGTAAAACAAAAGCATTAAATTAATGTAAAACCACTGTTTACGTGACAAAACAGTAGGTCAACATGGTAACAGCTCTTCACGAGTGTCGTCAACATCACCTGACACCTGCCAAAATATTATTATTATTATTATTATTATTATTATTATTTATTCATAATACTAATTGTTATTATTAATCTTAGTTTCGGCCTGGTAACTCTGTGCCTGGCTCCGCCCTTCACATTCCAGCCTCAGTATGTGGGTCAAACATGACAATAACAACAATAGCAACAAAGAAACAACAAAAAGAACATAATTCACACTACGTTTTTATTATTTATTTTTTATGATTTAATTTTTATCAACAAAACCATTAAAACTTTACTTTAAATAGATTTATACGACCAGTTGCTTTTTAATTATATTTTATATATTCGTAGGTCTATTTTAAAAAGTAAAATACATATTTATTTCCTAATTATTCTTAATGAGTAATGAACGGTGAGTTATGTGGGCAGGTCAGGGGCAGCCATCTCACAGGTAAGTGACCGGTGAGGTCGTTACTGGTTGGTTCCGCAGTGTGACTCACAGGTAATATAATCTATTAGATCGAACTAATGGATTGATGAATTGACCACTGATGTGACTAACCTCCCGGACGACTTGGTTCAGAGCATCGTCCTCTGCGCTGAGCCTCTCCCGGTTTGGGATCCTCTTCCGGCCCGGTCCCTGAGTGCCCATGATTGTCAAGTGCGTTACCGTTGAAAAACTCTTGTATTACTGGCCCACTTCAGTGGACTTTGGAGGTGTTTCTGCAATAGTTTGCATCATTCGGGGTCGTGTCCTGACGCCGAATGATTCACACAATTCTGCTGCACTGCAGAAACATTGGAGCCGGTGTTCAGAGCCAGGTCCAGGATCACGGGAGCGCGTGCGGGACTAAATTCCGTAATTTTCTGATGCGGGTCTGCGCTGATACTGCTAGCGGACGTTGAGATGCCAACGGGGAGAATGAGCACGATTAAATATTGGTGGTGTCACCGTTCGTGGATTCCAAAACACGTCAATGAACCGGAACCGCACGGGATACGTGGAGCTGTGAAGAGGACGCCTGGGAACCAATGCGGTTTCGGAAACGCACAGCAGAGACGCCAGGAGGAGGCTTTTATTGTGAAGAACCAGAAAATTACCGAGTTCGATGACGCATTAGTACGCAACAAGATCAGATTTTCAAAATAAAATTCAAGCTTTACCACGTACTGTACCTTCACCGTTTTTTGTAAAAGCTCATTTCTTTTTATTATGTTTATTCTGTTCATTATTTTTGATATTCTTTATTCCTTGAGTTTTAGACTCAATATTTTGCTTGATTTTTGATATTCTTTATTCGAGTTATTTGAGTTTTAGACTCAATATTTTGCTTGTTCTCTTGTTATGACGTTGTAAAGTTCTAAGATACTGAGGGTCTTCCAGCCTCTGCTCAGTGCATGAACTGTAAAAAGATAAACAAATGACACAGTTGTGATTGGTTTAATGGGCTGTCGATCAGAATTGGAACAGTGACTATGACAATTACACAAATATATATATTGTATATTTTTTTAAAAGTAAAACAGCAGACATTCAATAAGATCAATAAACATAAGTGATTAGAAAAATAATTCAGTTGATCAATTTTTGACCAGTTGAATTTATAAGATGAGAATTAGATTAATAATACTAATACTGATACTGATGATGATAATGCTAACTATGATATTAATTATACATGACAATGACAACAACAAAGCAATATTAATGAAAATAAATGATAATGATAAGAAGAACTCTCATTACCACCTGATAATCTTTTCTAAAGACAAATCCTTTCCAACACACTGATAATCTGCATGTGAAAATCGGGGACAGGTTCCTGGTTAAAGTACATTGTTCTAGTTTTGAGGTTTAAGCATTTAATTTAAATGTTCTCCTGTTCCCTGGTTATAAGATTCAATGCACTGGTTTCAGGTTCTTTTCTATATTTGTTTGTGTTGTTCTTTTTTTGCTTTTGGCTACTTTTCTGTGGCATTTCCTGTTACCTCTTTTTAGGATGTTCATAGGGTTTAGGTTCTGGTGTTTAGGTTTTGTTTTATCTTATTTAAGGGTTTCCTGAGCTCAGTTTTCCACTTTTATGATCTGCCGTGTTTTCTACATATCTGATTAATTGGTTCTTAGAATTATGGTTTTTTTTTTTGTTTGTTTGTTTGTTTTTTGTAAGGTTTGAGGTTTTACGTTGTGGTTTCTTGATGACTGGTTTTCAGTTTTAGGTTTTCTGATTTTTATGTTTCAGGTTCTCCAGTTCATGGGTTCTTCATTCTAATTTTAAATTGTTTGGTTCTCAAGTTCTTTTCTATTTTCTGGTTCTTTTGGTTCCTTCGTTCTTCTGTGGTGGTCAAGGTTCTGATTCTCCATGTAATGGTTCTATCAGGCGTTGTTGGGTCTCCACTGAGCTCCATTACTTTCTGTATAAAAACAAGTCAATGTGATGAAGGTTTTGATTCTAAAACAGTTCAACGGTGATGATGGTAAAGAACAGAAACATCAATAAACAACAAGAAATGAAGAAGATTCCCTTTCTTACTTGATACATCTTGTGAGGACTTCTTTCTTTGGTGTGAAGAAGGTGTCTGGAGGTTTAAAATTACACAAAGATAATTAGAAACAATCTGATGATATTGATAAAAGATCTGTTAATTTGTTAGTTTTGAAAATAAGCAGACCTTCTTCTTGGATCCTCCAACGCTGAGAGCCGCAATCTTACTCTCAATGTCAGAAACCTGCAATGACATTTTATTTTTTTGTGTTTATTATTTCAGGCTAAAAGACAGAAGTGGAGTAAGCAACACCATCAACAAACCACCTCGCTTTCAGCGCTCTGGACTCTGGCAGCAGTCAGCGCGACTACATCCTCCAGCTCCGAAAGTTCCGAGTCTGTAGTTCCTCCAAATCGGTTCTTGGCATTCTGCTCCAGTTTTCTCAGTTTGGCCTCCAAGTCATAGGACTGACCGGCTGTGACGTAGACCTGCAGGTATGGAGCCGCGTCACCACAGTAGTGCTAAGATGCTAACACAATGCTAATGAAAAAAGAATGCTTAAAAAGGTATGAAAGTACTTTTAACATGCTGACACGACACTTCTTACCTACAGCGCTGTGATGGCTGAGTATCAGATCAATTCTGTTCACTCTGAACCACCACAGAACAGAGTTAAAAAGAACCTCCTGCTTTAAAAACCGGTTTACAGTACTGCGGTTATACGAACCTGAGTTATTATCATATACTTCTGATGGTTCAGTCAAATTACATTTAAACTGAACTCTTTTCTATGAATCCGAAGAATTCATCGTCACCTCGTTATCTATTGAAGAAACTATAGTTTTTTGTTTTTTCCTCCCCTTTGTTGATGACTGCAGTGTTAATGTAATGGAAAAACAAGTTAAACTAGTCAGAATTTAAAATTTGAATAATGTTACATGGCTTCCAGGTGATACTGTTTTAGGTAAACTCAAACTTGTTTTTGTTTTTCAACTACCCTTAAAGTATGGATTGGATTAAACAGCGCCACCTGCTGGTTACGTAAAGTACATCCTTGTTTAAACTAGCCATATTATAAGAGATTGAAAAATGTTAAAGTCCCTACTGTTTGTCAGTTTTCAGTGCAATTATATGTAAATACTGGTTTCATGCAGTTTGATCAAATCGTGCCCTCTTTTGGACCCAGTGAGTCTGGGGTGTTTAGTTAAACCAGGTCCTTATAAGTCTAATTAAAAATCTGTTTGAGACCCAGCCCTGTTACTGGCTGGACTCATGCACACACAAAAGCCCGCCCAGAAGTGACGCCACAGTGTATGAGGGACAAGGGTGTTCAGAGTTCAGTGGTGAAGAGAGTGTCCAAGTTTAAATCTTACATTTTCCTCGAGTTCTCTGAACGCATCATCGACTTGCTTTACGTCACCTCCTGCTAAGTGGGCGTGGTCAACGGGCGCAGTGAGGCCATACTGGACCATGGCTGTTTCTGTGGCATTAAGTGTTCGCAGAACCTGAGTTGTGAGGTCGCAGAGCGCGGCAGCCGTGGATCTCTGAAAGCCACGCAGAGGGAAAAGGCATTATCCTGAATGTAGCTAACAACATTAACCAGGAAGCAGCGTTTATTCCTTTAGCAGGTGGCACCTCATGCTAACGCTTAGGACCTATGTAAGAAGTATACGTGAAATAAATTCAAACAAGAGTTTTAAAAATGGAGGTGAATCAATAATCAGTTAGCTTCACCAGCTAACTGCTGTGAAGAGAGCTGTGCTAGCTTGCGGGTAACTGTAGCAGATCCATAGCCCTGTGTGTTTAGCAGCTAGCCAAACCTAGCAGTTAAACCCAAAGCCCTTATCTTCTTCTCTTTTTACCGTCTAAAGTCTAAAGCAGTTACCTTTTGGGACTCAGTCGGCAGTTCATCACTGGAAGAGCTCAGGTCTTTGTCTTTTTTTGAGTGCAGCTTGACCGTTGCACCCCCACGGACATTAGCCCCACTTTTCCCCTGGTTCAGAATCTTCTTCCCAACCTCTTCATCAGATGAACCGCCCTTTTCACTCAGGTGTCCTGCCAACTCACTTAGTTTCCTCCTCAGCTTTTCTTCTTCATTTTGACCTGACGGTGTGGACACCTGAGAGACAATTACAGGTAGTACGTGTTTAAAGTCGGGTCACAGACCGCAAGTTTACACCTTCGACACAGGCAGGAAGTACCTGTGTAGAATCTGGACACAGACATGAAGTACATGTACATGTACCAGGACAGAGGCAGAAAGTTCTTGTGTACCTAGGGGCGGGGCTTGCCTCACCTCTTCGTCTGGTACCATCTTCTCCTCCAGCCGACTCAGCAGGTTTTCAATGGCTAACATACGTTTGTTTAAATCGTTAATCTGGTGGAGACAAATTACAGGTAATCAAATCATCGTGTCACAGCCTGATTGGTCATGACTGGCAGTCAGTTCTTACGGGTGGGGCTTGGCCGAGGTTCTCCTGAGACAGTGTTCGGCTGTTCCTGCGGCGGTGTGAAGGTGGCACATGCTGGTAACCCGGCGGGAACCTCTGGAATTCATCCTCATCAGATGTGTCAACGTACTGTTGACGAGCCACCGAGGAGCTGATCTTTGATAGAGAGCGAGTCTGGACCATCCGGTTGTCAAACAATTCCTCTGTACAAAAGTGAACCTAGTCTTGGTCTTTGTGTACGGCAGTTATCTGAGCATTCGTACTGATTAGATCTACACATGTGGTCATATTACTAGGCTATTACCCTGTGTATGTTTGTACCAGACAAATATTTATCTGGTAAGGCTAGTACCACTGAGTAAACTAAAAACTTGGCAAGGTTCTGAAGAAGCCTCTTGGATGAGAGGTCAAACATCTTCAACAAACCTCCGTCCAGTTGCCCTCGATGTAACGATGCTTGGATAAGATGACCAGCAAAACGATCTGTTGCAGTTTGTTATGAGGTTTTACTGTTGATGTCATAGTATTTATAGTATTTACTAGTATTGTTTTAGCAGTACTGTTAAGGTACTGTTCCACAGTATTAGTCTAGTACTGACCAGGCCTCATAGCATAGCGATCCAGACTCTTCCTGCGGTTGGTGCGAGGATTATATGGGTCGAAATCCATTTCGTTCCTGTAAAAGCGTTCCTCCTGCATCTGTCACGTTCATTAACAGAAAGTCATGTGAAATGTAACATGATGTTTACAAGGAAAAAGGAGACTTGATGTTCAGGGCGCACCTGAATGGACGCTCGCCGAGAGTGTGGAGCGTACTCTTCAAAGTCAAAGTCCAGAGGGTGGACAGACAGAAGACGTTTATTCTTCCTCATCTGTTAACGCAAACAATGACGCTTTTACGAACAGTAGCGGTGACGTCATTTATCACATGACTGAAGATTTACCATTTTATATCTCTGACCCTCTCCATCTCCATGGTCGTCATCATTGGTGTTGTACATGTCTGCAGAAAAATAACCAATGATCAATCACCAAAAACGAATGGGTTAATTATAAAATGGATTAATGATTGAAAACTAGTTTACTGATAACTCACAATTTTGTACATCAGGCATACTCTGAGTGTCATCATCGTGACCTGAACAAAAAATACACCACAGTTACAACAAGGCCCTTACTTTCCTGGATTAGCTTTTATGTTACAGGAGCTACTAGGTCAGTCCTGAAGGTCTTTGATTAATCCTTGAAGTCTCTGTTCAACCCTGAAGGTTCCAACTCCATCCTGAATCATCAGCAGGGTCAGAGGGTAGACACTCACCTTCTCCATTCAGCCTCTTGTACAACGATCTCATGACCTTTGCACTACCAAAGCGTTTGAATCGGTTCCGGACATTATCATGGTACCAGCCTGCAGTACCGATCTTCAGGACTCTAGAAAGAATCAGACACACAATGATGTCATCACTGCCATAGTTGGTTACCAGTAAACATGGCCGCTCCAGTCAGACTCCAGTCAGACTCCAGTCAGACCATAACTGTGGATGGAGGGGTGTCAGACAGACTCCAGTCAGACTCCAGTCAGACCATAACTGTGGATGGAGTGGTTGTCAGTGGGAGGGTCGTGGCTCTCACCTGGTCATGCGACAGTTGTCACACACCCAGCCGTGTTCCTTCTTGTTGTAACGGCTGCAGGATTTGCAGGTGAACATGTGACAATCCAGACACTGACGTCTGCTGTTGAGAAGGAACTTAAATGGCTGCAGGCAGCGAATGCACAACGAGTCTGAGAGTTGAGTCTCAGTAACCAGCAGCTCCTGCTTCGTGTCCTCCTTCTCAATCTTAGTCTTCAGGTCGCTGATGAAAAAGAAACAGAAACTGCAGTCAGTCGGTCAGGTCGCAGTAGTTTTACACGCATCATTTATTCCATACTCTAGAACCTAGAGTTTGGAAGTGTGGTCTATTGAAAAGACCACACCATAGAGCCAACTGTAGACCACACTGTAGACCACACTGTAGACCACACTGTAGGCCACGCTGCAGACCACACTGTAGGCCACGCTGCAGACCACAATGTAATTATTGTTAATTATGTTTTAGCTTACATCACTGAGACACATGACCGTCGTCTTGTAGGATCACATTTTACAATGTCACGGTAATGCTTTATCCTCTACTGACTTTGCTCCCTAGTGTTTACAGCTAAGTGCTTCATTATTACTGTGACTGGAACCAAACAAACTCCAACAACACCTCGTCTAGTTGAAGATGTTACCTGGAGATGATTAAAAATAACGACAGTATTTCTATGTAGTTGTGTTAGTATTAATTCTGCTACTCACACGCGCACAAGTTTTCTGTAGAAAACAATGGAGTCTTTGTTAATTTGCTGTTTTCCAACTCTGACCGTGTGACAGAGTCGTGATCCACTGACACAATGACGTCTCTTTCAGAAAACTGATGCCACAAACCAGCAGACAGCAGACAGACAGGCAGGCAGCAGCTCACAGCTCCATTTTTAAATATGTCCCAATTAAAACAGCCCACCAATGGGAGCAGGGTTAGGCAGTCATAGTTCATCATAGATCAAGGATTACTGTAGTCCATGTGGGCCACATTATATTCATTGTAGACCACAAATAGTTTCAGTAGAGGAACATATCACCAGTTTACTAAAATGTAGCACTCCATTCAACATTCCTTCCTAGTTTGGCCAAACGGAGACCTTCGTAGACCACGTTGAAGTCCATGTGGACCACTATATGGCCCCTGTAGACCACACTGTAGTCCCTGTAGACGACATTATTGAATTGTAAACCCAATGTAGGTTCTTACCCAAGTCTTTCCTCCTCTTTCTTCCTCAGATTGAAGTCTCGTTGAATAACCTCCCACACATGTTTGGCTTCTTCGTCCGTCAGACGAGACAAATCCAGTTTTCGCTCCATAATCCTGGGCCCAGTAGATGATTCTAGACCTGGCAGAAGATCTCGGAATCTACAGGAACAATGTGAGGAAAAAAAGTTTAAATAGGTTAAATTACAGATGGGCCTATTCTTAATGGCAGGATGTCAACAGGGTTCTAGTCCTGGTCCTACTTTTTCTAAGTTTAAGTCTAAGTTTAACAACATGTTTAATCTAGTTTGAAAAATCTCTCTCTCTCTCTCACTCTCTTTCTAAAACCTCGACCACTCGATCCAGACTAAACATCAAAATAGGAAAACCACACCCTTGGCGTGACCTTAATACCATAGTAGCAATCCCCAGATTAAAAGGAGCAGAACTGGACTGGACTCACCAAAACTACAACTAACAACAAGATCTGGCACAAACAAGACCTTCAAGAACAGAATAAGAAAACTAGACAATCACAGACCTTGACCAAAAAGAACCCAAAATAAGACCAAAACCCAGATTTACACTTAATAAACCTGGACTGAACCGCACACTAATAAAACAAGGACTAATCCAAACGGATCAGGACAGGACAGGACAGAAAAAGACCAAAAGACCAAAATCAAAGACCAACAACAAGCTAACACATGAGACTAAAACCACATTCAGGGCTGACTAACAGGACCAGGACTACTGAGGTCCAGGACCAGGACTACTGAGGTCCAGGACCAGGACTACTGAAGTCCAGGACCAGGACCGCAGGGCTGAAGGAAAGGCAGCAGAGAGATCTGGGTTCAGGGCTAATTCACTAACTACAGTAAAGTTTTGACTGAAGATGAATCTAAATTCAATTCACAGTTAAGTTTGCTCTGAATTAAATCTAAGCAAACAAAGCGTTTCAGCAAAAGAGTTTTCTTTGATCCAATTAAATCTAACAAAGTTAAATAAAGGAAAACATACTGACCGTCACAGAGTGTGTCTGTGTCTGTGTGTATGTTCAGAGTGATGACTTTACTGAGTTAGGAGCCAGAGAATCAGCTGATCACATGATAAGCATCCTCATGACACACACACACACACACACACACACACACACAGGAAGAGGAAAACTCTAATAGATGTGATGAATTGATTCCATCTTAACTTCCTCCTTAATTTAAAGGTTTTAATGGGGTGACATCAAAAATCAAACCATAGTCACCGTCCTCTACAGTTCTTTCCTGTTGGGGGAGCTAATGTCCATCTGAACTAAGATCCATCACAGGTCAGCCTGTGGACTTCATGACTAACCTGGAACCCCAGGACTAACAACCCTAACCTATGGTCACTTTAGAGCAGTGGTTCTTAATTATTTTCTGTCATGATGTTAACTATCGGATTTTTAAAGATGAAGAAAATTAAATCATGTTACATACATTCAATACCATGTTAAGGAACGAAATCTCATTTCCTACTCAAGGCGGCTTAGTTGTAGTTATCACTATTGTCCAAAAGAGGGAGCCATTGTAGCACACCTCTTTTGTACAAACGCGCCAAATGAAAAGGTAGAGGTAACATTGAAACATATCGCGTAATGTAAATATAAAATACGGATAAAATATTGTACAATTTGAAATGGATGAAGGAGGTTTGACACCTCCAAACCTAAAGAACTACTATCGTGCAGCACAACAAAATTCAAACAAAACATGACAGGAGTGGTAGCATGTGTGTTGAGGTATCTGTTTTCTTGTAATATCGAAACTTTTGAGATACTTCCAGATGTTGGATAAAACAGCTGCTTGATTATTGAAACTAGCGCTAGATGTATGTAGGTTCTTGAAGAGCCAGAAAAAGTGTACCGACAACCCCAACAAAGTCAATTTCGCATTATTGTGGTCCCCGAAAAAGAAAGAAACATGTTCATTCTGCGTCAGCCAGCAGGGGGCTGCAAAACGTATTTGGCAACACAGTCAAATTGACCTGCGAATTGCATGAAACCGGAAATAAAACATGAATCATTGTAAGATTTAAAGATTAAGATAATCTTTTAAAATAAGTGAAAGAAAGAAAGAAACAAAGCCCTTTCAGACACAGATTTTATTTTTATTATATTAACAAAGTTGAAGTTCTTTAATGGTAAATGGCTGTAAATAAAAACACACTTAAATATGGAAAACAAAATGTTAAGTATACATTTTTATTTAAACTTGACCTAAAGTTAATGAAAGTTTGGTTTAGTTTTGTTTTCAGTCACTTGTTTAATTTTAAAATGTTGTTAATAAAACTATCAATAAATAAATAATAAAATTTAACACTGATTTCCTTTTCGTAATAGCACCTGATTTCTTACCTGATCATAGATCTCGGACTTGAATTAAAGACATAGACCTGATCGAGACTTGATCTTAGAGCCCACGGTCAGACCTGATTTTCGACCCAAATCTGACCATACACCTGATTTAATACCAGATCATAGACCACCTGTTTTGAGACCTCATGTGAGACCTGATGTTATACTCAATTTTAAAATTAATCTTAGACATGGCATTACACAAGATTTAAAACTCTATAACTCACCAGGAACTGGTCTTAGACCTAAATGTCAAACCTGTAAATACACTAACCCTTAATCTTTATCTTAGTTGTGAATCTGAAACAGATCTTAGACCTGATCGTAGACTTAGACCTGGACTGTCATCAATTATTATGTTCAATAACATTTTAATTGTGTGACCCAACAAGCGTTGGGTCATGTGACAGAGCAGGATTAAAACCAGATTAGTTTTTGATCATTTGACTCGGCGTGTTAATGACATCATTGAGAAGAGACACTGACAAGTGAGGGCCATTTAGAGAAGCTGCTGCTGCGGGCAAGAGGCGGAGCTCAGTGCATCCACCACATGACCAGTCCTGTGGTAAGAAGACCAATCAGGGAGCTGGCTGCAGTTGAGGGGGCGGAGTTACAAAGATCAGAGTTACAGCACTTGAAGGTGAAGCTGGAAACCTGATGATTGATTCAGAAACAAGTAATTAATCAATCATTGATATTCTGTGATCATCAGAAGTACTCCGATTGTACTCACATGAGGAAACATTTGACTGAGGCGATTGTAGTCGCAGTCGGTGTATTTAAGACACTGACGGTATGTCATCCCTCCTACAAACACAGTATAAGTAGAAAAATGCTAGTACACAAGTAGTAACTTTATATTACTCTGCACAGACCAAGTACAAGCAAATAATATAGTACAGATGTACTACCAGACATGCCCTATAGGTGTACTCCTACAAGCAAAGATCATACTAGTATTCCATTGAAGTTTGGGTATAGAATAGATGAAGTACTAGTTTTGTACTAGGATCAGGTGTAGTACAGGTGTAGCACACATTTACAGTTATAGTAGGTGAAGTACTCTGTTACCTCTTTCGTACAGACTCAGGCAGGCGTCGTCGTAACTACAGTCGCGCTGTTTGCTGCAGCTGCCGGTGTAATCTTTACAGCTGTAACAACGGATGGCTGTACCTGAAATACACGGTAGTGCTAATGGTTAGCTTAGCTTGCAAACTGTGAGTATCTTGACAATAAAATACACACGAGTGCTTACATTAAGACAGGAAATAGCAAACATTTGGTCATCCAGGTCATGGTCAAGGTTGAAGAGTTCTGTTGGGCAACTGGCTGTGAAATCTTCTCAAGAAGACGTTTCACCTCTGATCAAGAGGCTTCTTCAGTTTGCCTCTTCACGTCCAGTTGCCTAACAGGACTGTTCAACCTAAACATTTGAATAGGTTAACATTAAATCCTGTAGCACTGACACAGTTAGCTTGGCTCAGTGTAAGAATCCTAACACCAGCTTAGCATAAGGACTGGAATCAGGAAACAGTTTATTTAAGGTTAGATAATTATGAGTACGTTTTTAGAAGCTCATATGAGCATGGTATCGTGGGTACATGTCTGTGCCAGAGGCCACACCCTCCTCTTATGCTAATGTCAGAACAGAGACAACAACATTTCTAACAAAACATTTTTTTTTCAAATGTAAAAAAGATTATTGAGTAATCAAGCAGCTGAGTTGGTCAATGAGAGCAGAACTTTAAACATACCCAGTCCAATCAGAGAGCAGCAGATCATCAGAGTGATGCCCAGGAAGCGCTTCATTTTCACCTCAGCTGCAGGTAGAGCGTTAAACAAACAGGTCAAAAGATCAGACTCCGAGGTCAGAGACAGGGTCAGTCAGAGTGACCTCAGTTGCAGGAGTAGCAGATGTTATGGTCAGTTAAACGACTGTAATCTGTTTGCGCTGGAGACCAACCCACAGAGTTAACCGTTGAAAGGGGAGGAGTCTTACTCTGTGATGCAGCAGACATTAAATTCACCCTCATCAATCCACTTTTAAATCCTTCAAATTATATTGTTGTAATGAAATGTGAATTAAATGCTGCCATATTATTTTACTCAGAACCAATGGTTTTTGGTGTTTTATACGGTGATGATGGAATGGTAATGGACGAAATCAGACAAAGTCTTTTGTTTGATCTCTGAACAGAAGAAGAAAAAGCTTCAGTGTCTCGTCATTGTTCGCCCCTAGACTTCACACAAAGAGCCCTAGTGTGCACCAGTGAGAGAGGCTTTGTCCGAATGGTCAGATCACCACCACCTTCATCCTACTCGTCCTCAGCAGAGACTCCTCACTGTGTCTCCATTCTTCGACAAATCTGTCAAACTCTTTCAGTCACATTAAAATTGGCATTGTTGTTAAAACCTGCCACAATAATAGAATTTTCTCTTTCTCTGGTTCTATTTACATTTATAATGAAGCTGCACCTCAATATCCCCAAGACCAAAACTTCATGTTTCCTGTTGGGTTTTCATCAGCTCCATCTGCAACCCTAATCTCTTCCTGTAATTTCACAGCTTGTTTTTTTTATTCCACTTTTCGATAATTTCTTTCTAACTCTCCAACATCTTTCATTAAACTCCCTTTTTTCTTTTTTTATAATACTCCTCCTTTCCATCTCCTATCTGACCTTTCTTTCTTTTTTTCTTTCTTTCTTTCTTTCTTTTTTTCTTTTTTTCTCTCTTTATTTCTTTCTTTTATACATACTGTATTCATCCTTCTTCTACTTTTCCTCCTCCTTCATAGATCTTTAACCCCTTCTATTACTTATTTTATTTATTTACATTTCATTCAGAGTAAATGACAAAAAGATGACAGTGAACAGGAGGGAGTGGTTACTTTAATTATATTAAATCATTTTAATGTTGAAACTGTTTGCTTCTCTGTCCGTCTGGAAGAAGACGTGCCACAGCAGAATGTTTTCAACAGATACTTTGAAGTTTTAAGATGTTTTTGATTGTGAGGCTCCAGGGGTGGGGCTTCAATCTGTGCGTGATGTAAGCTCGACTTTTTTCTCTGGCGACATCAACAACGCTCCTTCCTCCAAAGAATACTCCATCTTGCTTATTCACCTGCCTTAGCCACCAGGGGCAGCATCTGTAGGCAACCTGCGGAGTCTTGTGTGAGAATGTGGACTTCTTTGTTGTTTCCCGAAGTGCAACGCAGTAGAAGAAAGTGCTGAAAACTGTTGAACAATAAGTTAGAAACTTTTCTGAGAATTCTAACTTTGGTTGGATGAAGTGTATAAGGGAATTCTGCAGTTTACTAAAGATGAATGTCAAAACTGACCACAGCAGGTGTCTTGTTACCTGCTGGGATGATGTCACAGCTGTACTGGCTGCTGATTGGTCTAGAGAAGACAGCAAGTCAGCACAGCTGATGAAGAATTAAAAGCCTTCATGTTTAATTAAGTCCCTCATGTGGTCGTGTGTCAGTGCTGGGAGACAGAAGACGAGAAAACAACTTCAACACCAACAGACTCTGTGTTCACTTCTGTTTCTGTTGCTCAGGTATGTTTGTCTTGGTGTAACTGTTTCACTTTCTGATAAACATTTTGCTGCCACTAGCATCGTTTCCTTTAACTTCGGCGGTTGTCTTTCCCCATTTCCCATTTATTCATTTTTATTGTACATCTGCTGTTAACTTCCTGCCATTAGCTTCTTTTAAGCCTCCTAGCATTAGCATGCAGTTGTTAGGCCGTTGTTAGCTTGCAGTTGTTGCGCCGTCATCAACCTCTTTATAGCCTCCTGTCATTAGCTTGTTGTTTTAACTCTAGCCTACGTTTTAGCCTGTTAGCAAACTGCCATTACCTCACTGGTGTTAGCCTTGTATCTGTAGCTCGCTGTTGTTAGCCTGTTGTTGATCTCCTGTTGTAAATGACCAATGGTACGGCTTCATTTTCTTTAGTGCTTTGGCCCTCATCGTTAGGGTCGTGATATTATGACCTTTGATAGTAATAATTGTGGGTTGAATTAATTATCAAACTCCATTTTCAGATCTTAAGTGACATTACCATGGACCTGGACTCCATCGGTAAACCTTTATTTTTTTGTCAAAGTCGCCCACTTTACCTTTTATTGTTCATTCTATTTACTGTTTTTTTTTTACTTCTTTTATCCTGTCCAGAAGGCCTGAACAACATCCGCCCTTCAGTTTACAGAGTCGCCTTGAAGCTTCTGTCGCTGCAGAAGCTGTGTCACTGTAAGTAAACTGCACTATTGTTTTCTACCTATTTTTACCTATTACCTATTTTTTTTCTAGTTCCTAATTACCTTACTCTCTGTCTCAGTGGATGTGGTCTCCTCCCGACACATTACGGCAGCTTTCCAGGCGGTCGGCAGAGCTCCACAGGGAGAAGACCTGGAGTTGAGCAGAGAGGAAGTGACCCAAGTCATCAGCAGGATCTTCCAGAGCGTGTCTCATGAAGATCCAAATCAGGTGTATCCACCCGAGGCTCCAGAGGAGGCGGGCGACCTGCTGCTGATGACGTTTGACCAGTAGTCTATTCTTGTTTTCATATGATTGAACATTTTCTAGAATGCCTCAGTCCTGCAGGTGTTTGAAGGTATTCATGTTTCAGGGCTGACGTTGGAGGGTTTTCACAAGAATTTCTTCAGACTGTCCTGGTGGCGCTGTCCTCTGACCACCTAATCAGCAAGTACCGAGGTTTGTGACCTGATCATAATTGACAAATCATCATTCACTATGACTAATTAGTTGTTGGCACTCTGTTTATTAATAAAGACTTCTTCCTGATGTTGATCTTCCCTGTTAAGCTTTGCTCGCCATCTGCCAGAAAAGATCAGGAGCAGGATCAGGATTGATCAGCAGGTCTGGACTTAGGTTTTTGCTCACCTACCTCAGCAAAGTAAGAGACGCCGAATTTCCAAATTTGATGCTGTTAACATTGTTGTTAGCCCTGCTTAGGGCACTCGGTTCACTCAGTTACAAGTCCTATTGCTTGTTATTGCAACCGACACTATTATTAACTTGGTGTTATTGATGTCAACAACAGTTACCAAAACTATTATAATAAGTGAATGAATCTGACACTACCTTGCTGCTGTTATTGCATTCATCAATATGACCAATGTTGTCTATTTTAAGCAACACTAATGCTAACTTACCTGTTAGCTAACCTGCTCAATGTAATCACTGCTCCCACTATTGTACAGTTTTTAATCTTTAACTTTCTGACACATTATTCTTCATGTTCCAGATTCCAGCTGTGGTGCAGGAGGGGGAAGTTTTTGGGGCTGTGGTCGACGCAGTAGATGCGTGTTTTGAGGGGGTACGACATTACATAATCGAATAATGTTTGTTGTCATCTGTAGCTACCGATGTTGTAGCCAATGCTAATGCTATCTCTGCTTTTCCAGGTGACAACGTCATCGGTGAGTGCGGCTCATGCAATGTCATGGTTGAAGAGTGAGCCACGCCTCCTCCTGTGGTTGCCCACACTCTACCGTCTGTCCGTCTCCCAAAACGTCCAACACCGCATCCGCTGTCACACTTGTAGGATGTATCCAATCACAGGGCTCAGGTTAGTGGCCAGTCAGCTGCCTGTTCTGCTGATGATGTCATAAGCCATTTTGATGTTTGTCATGTGTTTGTTTAGGTACCGATGTCTGAGGTGTGTGAACGTCCACATGTGTCAAAGTTGCTTCCTGAGTCAAAGAGAGAGACGGAGACACAAGAAACACCACCCACTGATGGAGTACTGTACACCAGTGAGACAAAGCCTCTATGTCCTTGTTGGACTGTTACTGCCCCTTTGTTAGCGTCCTATTGTCCCTGCTTCACTGTCTACCATCCTGTGCTCCTGTCTTACTGTCTCGACCCCATTTCTAATTCTGTCTCAGTATCCATTTTCTTATTGTCTTTGTCCTTGTCTTACTTTGTCTGTCTTCCTGTATCTGTGTTTGATTCTGTCCTAATGTCTTTGTCTCTGTCTTACTGTGTTAGGTGACATGGACAGAGTCTCTGTCCTCTCTGGCGCGCCGTGCTCGACATATCTTGCTACCACAGAGACGCCAGAGAGAGGATACCAAGAAGTGGGGGGTGCCGGAAGAGACTGAGGACAGGTGAGACAATAAACAGGTGAGACACACATGACATCTCAGCATCCCCTGACCCAAGTGTTTCCTCAGAGCTCCAGCAGGATTTGCTGATGCAGACGTCTGTCCCAGTTGTCGCTCCACCTCATCTCCTTGTCCACCCACGTCTGTTGGTCAGAGCTTGGACAACAGTGACAGTCCAAAGCAGCAGGTGGCGACGCCAGAGGAGAAGTCAGATACTCTGAGGGATGACATCGTAAACCTACAGAGAGACAAATGGTAGGGAATAACATCGGTGAGGACCAATCAGAGAGCAGGGTGTGTTCTTATGCAGACGGCTCTCCTCCAATAGGCTGTTGGAGCAGGAAGTTAAGGCATGGCGTCTCACAGTCCAATCAGAGCAAGGCTTACTAGAGGACAGGTGTTACCAAATGGAGGTTACCATGGAGACTCTGAGACAACAGAATCTCCGCCTGCAGGGAGCGCTGTCACAGGTAATAAAATCACTGATGTCAGTATCAGCAGCAGGTCCATCACAGATGATGTCAGGGGGAGGAGCTAAAACTGTTTTCCTTTAGACTTTAATCAAGTTGGAGACTAAACCACAGACCCTCACCACAGACAGTGACATCATCATCCCACAGGCCACCACTGACCCTGAAGACAGGAAGGACCAAATTCTTCCACCTACAGTCCACTACAACTCAGCTCAGACCACCTCTGACCACGAGGACAACCAAAGTCCGGCTCCAACCGTTTACAGTGAGACACTTCAGACTACCTCTGATCATGAAGACCCAGACCAGAGTCCATCTCCCACAATCCACTGGGAATTAGATCCAGAGGACCAGGATCAGAGCCCGAGTCCCACGATCCACCAGGGAGAACATCAGACACTCTCCTACAACGAGGAGGACCAAAGTCCATCTCCAACCATCTACTGCGAGACGCTGTACATTAACTCCGATCCTGAAGAGCATGACCAGAGTCCCGGTCCCACAATCCACCAGGGCTTAGACTCCGGGGACAAAGACCAAAGTCTGAGTCCCAAAGTCCATCATGAGACATCTGAACCCTGTGTCCAAAGGTCTGATGATGATGTTCATGAAAGGTTTTGTCATCAGATGAGGGAAAATGAAGTAGCAGAGGATGATGGGAAGTGTAGTGCAGAAGAGCAGATTGAGAAGGCAGTGGACCGACTGAAGAAGGAGCTGGAGGCTCAGAGACACACTGGTAAGTCCACAGCAACCACGGCTGCTTTAGAAAGAAGGTCAAGTCCTCACCATATCCTGTCTGTGTCTGTATGCAGGTGACAGGAAGTGGGCGGGGCTTGTAGTAGCAGCGGAGCAGGTGGGAGGTGCTGTCCACTCCCTGGTGGACGCACTGATGTGGGACAAACACGGAAAAACACAGGTGACAGAAACATTTACTGACAAAATTTTATTTTACAACTTTAAATAAAAAACAGTACAAATACACAGTTAATATTTGCTGCACCTTTTTATTAGCTGATGTTTAACTAACAGTTAGCTAAGCACTGGAGCTGAGCTTTTTTTAAACTCTCAGGTAAAATTCAGTACTCTGATTAACTGTTGACAAAATGGACTAATGCTTATGTCGATCTGTTGACTCAGTTTAGGCTCATACTCTGTTTGTTGGACATCTGCTGTTGGTTCTTAGTAAAGTCACCAGTGTTTGTAAACCTTTAGCTTAGCTTTTCTTTCATTTACTTCTCTCTGTTGGCTAGCACTAAGTTTCACCTAAAAGTTTAACTAACAGTTGACTTAACAGTAACTTTTAATTTCTCAGCTAAATTTTAGGATCAGATATACTAACTTTGGCTAAAAGTTAGCTTAACATCAGCTAGCGCATGTTCATCATCATGATCAACGTTTATCTTTCAACTCATCACTATAAGGCCAACCAGTAACTAACATTAGTGTCTAACAGTGTCTTTAGCTGCCATTTAAAGAATGCGATTGATTCAGCTCAGCTAGCTTTGCCCCCTGCGGCTTCTTCGCAGGCGGGGAGGAGGATGACCGAGCTCATTACAGACAGAGGTGCCGCGTCTCAGCCCCTCTCTCCTGGATAAATGGGGCGTGGTCTGACTCCTGGTTCTTCTTTTGGACAGGAGCGGGTGTGTTCTCTCCCTTTTCCCTCCCCTTGCTTTCTCAGATCTGCTCCGCCCTCTGACCAGTTTCTTGCTGATGTTTGATGATGTCTTGGCGGCTACACTCTGAGAGTCTGAAGGCCCCTCGTCTTGTGCTCTGTCAGCATTCAGTTCTGGACTCAGACTTCGGAACAGCTGACGGATGCAAGATGGGGATTGGCTGATGGAAACTGTGGAATGGTGTTGCTTCCAGATAAAGCTCTTTTTGGGTGCATGACTGAGAATGCGGGCGGTGTTAAGGTCATAGAAGCTGACAGGGAGTGGTTTGTATTTCACCTTTGGCCCCTGCAGGTGGAGTGGTCGCCTCTTCCGCTTGCAGCTTCTGGAGGAGGTGGAGCCTACTGAGGGCCCTGGGGCAGGGCCGGAGGGAGAGCCCAGCAGGTAAATCACAGACGTATGGGGCTGCACCGGGGACACAATGCTGGGGAGGAATGAGGGGATGTCTTGCCTTTTTGACCTAGGTGTCCTTTCAACTGTGTTCTGGATGGTTGCAGCGGGGACAGTCGTCGGTGGAGTCTTTGGAGCAGCCTGATGAACAGCAGGTAGAAAAAACTGCAGGGTCTGCGTGCTGCGGCTGACTTTAACCACCTGAGAGAAAACAACACAGTGAGACCAAAAAGTTCTTTAAACAGCTCTTTGCACTCCCTCAGACTCAAACACTGACTGACCTGACACCTGGATGCCACCCTGACGCTCCGCCTCCTGCTCCTCCTCTGCTCGTACTCGGACTCATTACAGTCCAATAACAGCAGGTCAGCCGCTGCTTCTTCCTCTTTGCTCTTTTTGCACATCTTTTTATTTCGGGTTCTCCGTCCATACCTGGGTGCGTAATGACATCAGAGTTTTATATGGAAATGTTATATTGATATTGTGTTTTTTGAACTGTGTGAGGAGTGTTAATTCAAGGTTCTGTTACCTGGCCAGACTGTCACTGTCAAAGTAGCAGACAAACGCTCCTCTCCTAAACTGTTGAACCATCTGCTCTACCTTCTCTTCATCTTCTTGCTGGATCTCCAGCCAGCTTTTTCCTCTGAAGGATTGTGGGATATGTTCAGGAGTGGGCAGGGTCAGGAAATCAATTTTCTCTGGCCCAGCTCCATCCTCTGCTCTGTGATGACTTTTCAGGGCAGAATCCAGCTGCTGTGAGTAGACCTGGTCCTCCAGGTGAACCTGCAGATCCAAAAGGCGGTCCAGGCCTTTTCCATGACTTTCGCCCTGCCCATTATTATGTGCCACCTGCAGAAAAGGAAATGTTTTAACATGCACACTCATGTGGGTTCTGAGGATGGGCCCAGTTGCGTCACTCACATGAATGTAAGTGTCCCATTCTTCGCTCTGGGATGTGCAAACGCTGATGTGCAAACTCTGCGTCTCCTCCTGCTGGCAGGACAAATTCCCACAGATTTGCTGTTGACTGGAAATAACATCAGCACAAACCAGCTGTATCACCTAAGTGTCAGAGAACATGACAGAGATGTGATAACATAACATCATTTGTTTGTTTGTTTTAATGACATCATCAGAAATGGAAACAAACCTCCTCAATGGTTTGCTCCACCGTGTCCCCGATTTCAGAATTAAATTCCGCTGTCCCCTCTTTCTGATGACTCGGGTGGGGCTGTTCTGTTGGGTGGGGCCTTTGTGAGGTCAGGTCCTGGAGGCCGACTTCTGAAGGATCACTATTTTTTCTTCTGTCTGTCTTTCTGTGAGCTTTTCTGTAAATGCGCAGTGGAGCCCTGGTCTGCAGAGGTGGGGTCTTTTGTGAGTGTGTACTTCCTGATTGGCTGTGGTGGGTCTCTTCTTGTTGATTGGGTGGCTTACAAGAGGCGTAGTCCGAGCATGATAAACAATCTTTTATGCTCTGGGATATACAGTCATTATCAGAGAGATGAACATCATCGAGCTCTGGTCTAGGTGACAGAGGGAGGAAGACTGAAGGCAGGTCAGCATGAGACGGCCTGGGGGGAGGAAGTGACCACAGATGAGTCAGATGGGGACATGTTACATTAGAGGTTCCATAAGGCTTCTAGATTGGACTCAAATGTCTTGGTAAAGTAAACATCCTGAAAAGTAGTGGTATGGTAATTGTAGTGTTGCTACATAGCAGGACACGACATGGCTTCAATAAATGTTATAGTACAGCAAAGTCATACTATGGTAGCCCACAGTAGTAATAAGGGGTCTCAAATGTGGAACCAGTTGTTTGCTTTGCTCACCTGGGGTCACCGTAGCGGTGTGGGTGGTGCAGCAGGACGTCCTGCAGGAAACGCTCCAACAGTGTCGCCCTGCTGCTGCTGACACTGCCAAAGGAGGAGGAGCTTCTGGAGGAAATTCTAACAGAGTCCTGGTGTCTGAGACTAGACAGGTGCTGGAGACATACAGTTGAGTGTGAATGGATGACCCAGGTCACATGACTCAGTTGTGTCTGTAAATAAAACTAGTATGTACCTCATCCAGATTTCTGTAGAGGACTCTGCAGAACCCACAGTAACCCTGACCACCACTTCCTGCACTAGTACCAGGTTGAGACTCCCCCCACATTCTGTCAATCAAACACCATTAAAAAGTCACTGATGAGTTCAGACCAATAGACCAGCACTCAATGACTTATAAACTTACAACTGAAGTTTGCAGCTTTTAAGCACCAAATTACTTTGTCTTGAAATTTCCTTTACTTTAAATTAAATATTGTTGTACGTTATCCTGACATTTTGACAATAATTCAAAATTAAATAGATTACAAAATCATACTAGGTTCGCGACTTGACATGTTAAAAATGCAGCCTTAGCGTCGACATTTTATACAGAGTTTGGGCTTAATTTGCCCAGGTGTTTGGCTCACAGGTCTAAGGTAGAGAGGCTTGGCATCACTGATGACGCGGTTGCTGACGTGCGTGATCAGCAGCATACAGCTTTTAGCGGGCTGGCTTCGCTGTTAGCATTGCCTTTCAAACGCTGCGTTACTGGCTTTCTACAACCTACAGTAAGGCACAGTCGCTTAACCAGTCGAACTAGTTTACCTGCTCCTCCGTTTTCCCAGTCCTCTACGACGTACACTTTTTACTTTTCGAGAATCTGAAGCGCCATCCTCTTCGAGCTGTTCCACTGCTGTTTAGTTCCGGTCTGACCAATGACTTCCGGTAAAGCTGAAGCATTACTGCAAGACGTTCTGCCACCAACAGTTCAGAGCCAGTAATGCAGCCGTATTCCCAACATTCAACTGATTTAGAGTTGTATCCAGTTTGTGTGAATCATCCCAATTCCACAAACAAAAACGCCAGGTTTCAAATGAGACCCAATAGACAGACAATAGACAGGAAACTCTTTATTGTTGAAGTTTAGATTTTGTTGAAGGCAGCAACATCCATGGACTGGACGAAGTCCTCAAAGGCAGTGATTTTTTCCTCAAGGATATCTGTTCCTACCTGTATATTGTAGATAAATAAAAAGGAAAAATTTAAAAAAGTCAGAACATAACATAAAATTTTAGTTTTAGTCTTGGCCATCTTTGATTTTTTTTTACCCACCTTGTCATCTTCAACAACGCAGCCAATCTGCAGCTTCTTGATGCCGTAACCCACTGGAACCAATTTAGCTGCAAGGGGAAAACCGGTTTATGAATAACCATCACTTTGATGACCAAATAAGTTCAACTTCTTAAGTTTTTGCCCAGTGATTTCAGATTTTTTGAGGTTGTACATCACATCTTCAGCCGAAAGATGGTGAGTTAGATCATCATCAACTTCCTGATCGGTTAATATTACAACACAGCGAAAAAGAAAGACTTACACTGTCCCCAGACCAGTCCGTCCATCTGGATGCTTCGGACGTTCTCCTCCAGCATTGCCATGTCTGTTTCATCGTCCCATGGCTTCACGTCCAAGAGAATGGATGACTTGGCAATGAGGGTGGGCTCTGAAGGGGACAGGGGAAGTAACCTATTAACAATCACGACTACGGTGACACAGCTTAATGAGTGGATGCTTATAGACTCTAATCAGAAAATAAAAGATATCCATCAGAAGCTCAGCCGAAAGATGGTGATGAAATCATCACAGAGTCAATTTCAACTTAGACTGGTGATCATGGGATGACGTACTTTTGGACTTCTTGGCAGCATACTCAGCCAGGCGCTGCTCCTTCAGCCGTGCTGCCTCAGCGTCTTCCTGAAACAACAACCCAACATTAATACCCCATTTTTATTGGCCTGGAACGATGTGAGCTCACACACACCTCATCACTCCTGTTTAGAATAAGCTTCAACTAAGCTCCCTACAGCGAGCTCACCTCATCATCAGAACCAAACAGGTCTATGTCATCATCGTCTTCTTCATCTTTAGCGGGTGTTTTAGCGGGGGCAGAGCTGGTGGTGGTGGTGTCAGCCACACCTGGGGGTCCGTACTGACCCAGGGGTTTTTTCACACCTGGAAGACTGAAAGGAGAAAACCTCTGCTGACCTGGACGCTGACCACGCCACAGGTGTCGTCAGTTGATCAGGGTACCCACCTGTTCTTCTGGTTGTTGTACGACTTGATGTGGTTGTACCAGCGCAGGGCATGGCACAGGTCTGCAGAAGGAGGAGTGGGGATGGCCTCAAACACAGCCACATCAGCTTGAGATGGGACGTAGCTACAAAGGTGGAGGACACGTCACCATTAGACCACTGCCAACAGTTAACGCTCATTTGTTGGCTAATCCTGATCCATTTGTCGACTTGCTTCGCCATAATAACAACCGAATTATTCCCGTGACAACTTTTATACTACTAAATTATGGTGCACATTTAATGACGCGAACCTTAACTAATGAGCTGTAAAAGCGTCCAGAACAAAGTTCTTCATAAATATCCGTCAGTTAGCGCCATGTGACACAGGTTAGCATTAGCTTGTGCCGACATGGGCCGCAGTTTAACTTCAAACTAACGTCAAGTTCGGTTCCCTCTGGTCTGATTCATACGCCACGTCAACCAATTGTTTAATATACACATTCGGCATTTTATTTGTGTACGAAACGTTAACGTCAGAGTTAATTGCAGCTCCTCCCGGAGGTGCAACTCACCAGACGGAGCTCTAGCATCAGCGCGGCCTAAATGGCAGCAGTACCGGCTACAGTAAGTGCAACAAAACACGTTATTCTGGATATTTATTCTCTAATCAACGACTTCTACTTCACTGACCCCTCGATGTAGCTCCGGTCTGATAAGAAATTATTGAGAACAGCGAGGCCGGAGGTGGATTTAAGGTCACCGAAGCCCATGATGACGGTAAAGATGGGATATAAAGGAGACGATGGCGGAGGGAAAGGAAAGAGAAGGAGGGCAGACAACTTTAAATAACCGAAGCAGAGCCACGCCTTAACTGCGTTAGTACCGCCCCTACTCCTTAACAACTTAAGGGTTTTATAGTACAACCGAAACGGCTCTCTGCCTTTTGGCAGCTCTTTTATCCCCTATGCTGGACATTCAGAGTATAAACACGCACTAAATTAGATTCGATTCAATATTGCTGTCATTGCACGTGCCACAAATACAGATAACGAAATGTAAACTGCATCTAACCAGAAGTGCAAAATCAGCGGAGATACATTTGAATTTAATAAAGGGTAACACTGAAATAATTATTAAATATTAAACTTTTAATTTAATAATGAATGATTAATAAATATATATTAAACACTCTTAATACAAAAATACAACAAATATCCATCCATTTTCATCCGCTACCGGGTCGCAGGGGCAGCAGTCGCCACCCAGATCACACTGCACCGTACCAACCCCCCTGAACCTTCCTGCAGGTGGTGAGTCCACTGGAAGGTACCAACCGCCCTAACCGGGATTCGAACTTGCCCAGGAGGTGAACCCTGGGGTTCTACACCAATGACAGAGACATTGTCTCTGGGCCAAAGCGCCGCAATACAACAAATAAATACAATAAAATATAGTTAATATTATTATTAAATTTATTCTTAAATTAATTTAAGAATAAATTGAATGTTTTCTTATTCTGAGAATTTAATTTTAAATTCTAATTTTAACATCAGAAGACATTTTTTAAAGTTTTTTTTCTCTTGAGTGTGGCTCATTTGTTTTTTGTGCATCTCTTTCAGATTAAATGTGTAAGATTTATGTTTTAAAACCTAAAGTGAATATGACTGTTTGTTACGGAATTCAGACATTTTGTTGCAGAACTATAAAGTATGGATAAATGTAAATTAAGAGTACACTTCATCAGATGTCATTTCTAAGATCAAAAATGGCAGAATTGGACTTTGTCTCTTAAACATCATATTAAGCTCAGTCAGAGTTTAGTCTGAAAGAAGTGAGATAAGATATCAGTTAAACACATAGACATGACCTTGGACTGCAAACACGTTTGGTTTAGTCTTTTCAGTTAAAGAAAAACGACTGCATGTGGTTGTATGTTTGTCAGGAAGTGTGTGTCGGTGTGTGAAACCTGCCTTTGAGGCAAAAATGCAGTCCGACCTGTCTCATAGTCACATGACCTTGTCTGTCGTGTGTCATTGGCTGAAGCCAGAGAAACACACCTGATTAGATTGGAGGGTGAGAAGAAGAAAAAGAAAAAAGGGCAGGAAAACAGTAGGAGGAAGTCTACGGAGAACACAGACACAGGAGAAGAAGAAGAAGAAGAATCCCTGCTCACTTCGTTCTCCTTCTCCACAGGTGTGAGAGAGTCCACGGATGGAGGTTCTGGGGCCCAATCTCACTCGACCAGGAGTCCTCAGGTAACAAACACGTTTGTTTTCATCAGTTCCTTCCAATGTTGTTTAAGGTTAAAGAGAAAATATAAGCTGTTCAGATTTGTAAACGTAAGAACGTGTGTGATGTCTCTCCTTCTACTTTGGAATGTGGCGCATGTTTGTCTTTTTACATTTTGATTTGGTTTTAATATGTCCTAATACCTTCAGGTTCTCCTGATGGGTCTGGACTCCTCTGGGAAGTCCACTCTTCTGGCCCACTTGTTGACAGGAAGGGTGAGAACCTCATAGATTCTTTTCCCCTAGTACATTGTTCCATGTTTGTGACACAGCTGCTGTTCCCCTTTGAACCCTGAGGTAATGGACACCTCTCCAACTATTGGCTTCAACGTGGGAACCTTCATCTTGGACAAGAAGACGTCTTTGACTGTCTGGGATGTAGGAGGACAGAAGAGCATGAGACCCAACTGGAGGTACCAAACAATCTGAGCCACACCTTCAGCCGTCCCCAGCGTCTCCTCATGTCCATTCTTCTCTCCAGGTACTATCTGGACAGCTGTAAGGCTGTAGTCTTCGTCGTGGACAGTTCTGATAGCGCTCGTTTACCTGAGGCCCAGAAGGCTCTGAAGAAAGTTTTGAGTGACGACAGACTTAAAGGAGTTCCTCTGATGGTTTTGGCCAACAAGAAGGACTTACCCAACTCCATGACCATCAGAGAGGTGAGGCCACCTTCCTCCACCAAAGTCCATAGAGAAAATGAATGATTTTAGCTCAAAGTTACCACCGGGGGCAGCAGTAGGCCTGGGGTCTTGGTGAGTTTCAATGGCAGATTTGTTTTCTGGACCTGTGTGTTTTGTCCTCTGTTCAGATCTCCAATCAGCTGGGTCTCAACAGCTACACAGAGCGTCTGTGGGAGATTCAGGCGTGCAGCGCTCGACAGGGACTGGGCCTCCAACAGGCCTTCGTCTCTGTCAACAAAATGATGAAGAGGAGCTGAGGAGCAGGGAGATTCTACATCTTAATGTCTGCATGTCTTTCACAAAACAAAATGAAGATTTGATGTTTATCATATTTATTAAAATGAAAGTTGAAGTGAAGAGATAATGTTATCATATTTTAAAAAAATAAAAGTTTTTTTATTAAATAAAAGCTGAATGATATTCATTTGGGGGGAAATGGGAAACTTTATTTATTGATTAGTACATGTTGAGAACTGATTACTTGTACTTGTCTATGCCTGTGGCATCACTGTGCAACCTCTTTAGGCTGAACCAGGATTGGACGAGCAGCAACAGCGGGATTAGCACCCACAGTCCATTGAAGAAGACCAAGTAGACCCACAGGTAGAGCCAGTGAGCCGTGTCCAGGTGTGGACTGCCCTCCAGCCAATCAGGACAGAAGGTCATCCAGCCTCCATAAAGCTCACACACACACAGCACCACCTGCAGGTAGTGTCTGTTTGAAAACAAAAAACAAAATGCCTTCTGTAGGAAATGTTGTTTTTAAATACATATAGTTTGTCAGTAATTGTAGAACTTTAGAGTCAGATGTGTTTATATAGAACTGTTGATTCAGTACCTGTAGAACTTTTGAGTCAGAACTGCGTAAATTAGAAAGATTCCAATCAGAGAACAGACGACCACTGTCAGAATCTCAATGGAAACGATGGTTGAGTCAGAAACTAACCAACGACTGTCTGCTTTACCGTACT